TTACAGAGCAAATACACAGAAAAGGGCATCATGGGATATTAACTACAGCCAGCAAAGTGCGTACCAGGTACTGGATCCCGAAACTGTTGAAACTTGTGCAATCAATCAAGTCCAAATGCGTCGTTTGTAGAAAACTTGATAAAAAAAGTCAGTAAACAAGTAATGGGCAACCTTCCAACTAAAAGGCTGAAACCAGCCCCTCCATGGAGCAGTACAGGCATCGATTTGTTTGGACCTTACAAGATTCGCGATGAAGTAAAGAAAAGGACAACATCAAAGGTGTATGGAGTGATATTCAACTGTCTAGGGACAAGAGCAGTTTACTTGGATATAGCAGCAGACTATAGTACAGACAAATTCCTAATGGTCTTCAGACGATTCGTGTCACTACATGGTTACCCATCTAAGCTATTCTCAGATAACGGTACCCAACTCGTCGCAGCAAATAAAGAGCTTTCTAATATGACCAAGACTTGGGATTGGAACAAACTAAAAGGTTTTGGCATAACTGAGGGATTTGAGTGGATCTTTACATCCGCAGACGCACCCTGGCAGAACGGAGTCACAGAAGCTCTCATAAGATCTGTAAAACGAGCTATTAACGCTTCTATTGGCGATAGTACCTTAACATTCTCAGAGTTACAAAGAGTACTTTACGAGGTCGCCAACTTGCTGAATGAAAGACCAATAGGAAGGCACCCTGCGTCACCTGATGACGGTGCATATCTTTGCCCAAACGATCTTTTGCTTGGTAGAGCAACGGCACGAATACCAAGTGGCATGAACTTTGACGAGCGAGCGAGTAATAGAAAACGGTTTTCGTTCGTACAAACGATAATATCTTCTTTCTGGAAGAAGTGGACGCAAAATTACTTTCCCAGTTTGCTGATACGTCAAAAATGGCATACATCCCACCGTAACTTAAAAACTGGAGATATCGTTCTTATACAGGACTCGAGCTTGTTAAGAGGAAAATGGAAGATCGGGAGAGTTTCTAATACATATCCAGGAACTGATGGGAGAGTCCGGAAAGTAGACGTCGAATACAAGAACATAACAAATGAGCCTGTAACTAAATATAAAGGAAAAGGCTATATAAGTGTACAACGACCAGTACAGCGCCTAATATTAATACTTCCTATTGATGAACAGTGACTGAACTCTTAAATTTACTTGTAAATCGTATACTTACTATACCTCATTTCAGATGGGGGAGTGTATTGTTTAATATGTTATCTACTGCGCTAGCTAATTAAGGCCACAATTTTCAATTAATTATTACTAATCGCATAACGTGATGACGTCATAAACGGAATTCACTGTATTACGACTTGCTAGTCAGAAGAACTGTGAGACACCACTGAATTTTGAACGCGACTACTCCAAGCGATGATTCAATAAAGGAGCTGTTTAAAACCGTGGACTGAGTTAATCTTCGACTGGCAAAATATTTAGTTTTCAAAGTAATTGTCAAACAAATGTGTAAGTATTTTATTCAGTCCACATACAGTCTGAACCTGAATTAAGTGCTCTGTACCCACAGGCTATGGCTGGGTGACTGCCTGAAACAGGTTGACAGCCTAACAATTTACACCCTAGCATCAGTATGCATATTCTCCATACTATTCACTATACATTTCCCAAGGTGCTGACAAAGAGAATTTGTTTAATAATCAAGAGCTGCTTTAGTTGGTGATCATTTCCTCTATTCTCATGACCTTAATGTTTGATTTCAGGGTGATGTTATGAGGAGAAATTAGATCCTAGTCACTCTCAGGGTTTATAGGGTTAACGCAGGTTCTACAGATAAATAGAAAATAATACACGAGCGCGTAGATATGGAATTTCTCTTCGTTTGCTCAACTCGATAGCTCACGAGTGAGCACAGCGAACGAGTGAGGTGTCGAATTGAACAAGAGAAGGGAAATTCCATATGTACAAGCAATTGTGTACTATTTTGTTTATGATATCAACAGAATAGCCTTTTAATGACAAGAAAAGCCAACTTTATTGATGAATGAAAATAAAGGAATCGGCAATTCCCGAGTAAAAATTGCAGTGTGTTGGCGCTAAGGTTTAAGATGGAAAAATGCGATAAATCATGATTACATTCTTTTTCTTTTAAATCTCTCAAATGTACTAACAATGTTGTCTTGTGAATAAATCTTTATGCATGAACTTAAGCACTAGCAGGGAGAGAGCTTCAATGGAAAGAAGCATCTGGATATGGTTGACATTGTGCTTGCAGCGAAGGTAATCAAATGCACTTTAAACCGTCTTCTTGATTATCTTTTTTCCTTCCTTCCTTGAAGAAATGTTTCTGATTAAGTTATCAAGGAGCTCAAGAAATTGTTCGATTAAATTTTTTCTCCGGTTTTTTACATAGGATGGAGACGGAGAAAGCTTATCCGATGAAGCGATACGAGCGGAGATGGTGACATTCTTCGCGGCAGGTCAAGATACAGTGGCTGCCGGTTTCAGGCTGACCCTCATCTTCCTGCAGATGGGGTAAAGTATTCCACAGTTTAGATTGTATAAAAATGTGCCGCCCCAAACGGTATGTGTTTGAGCCTTTCCTGCAAGAAAGTGAGTGTAGACTAGAGCCGTTATGGTCTTTAATCGTGCGTGGTTTTAAGTAACCAAATTTTGTCATTCGCGCTAAATTTGCTGATGACATTGGCACCAATGCGAAGCTTGATCATATCGCAAAACTGGATTGGAAACTAGGTCTGAAGAGGGAGTATGGATTGTATAGGCCAGATCTAAGATCTGAAAACATAGGGTAAAAAATACTATAACAACAGGAAGCGAGGGTCTTAGCAGTGATTAGTAAGACGAAAAGAAACACTCGTCAAATACTTACTCTTGGTTCAGTGTTCGTCTAAGACAATGGCTATTTACGTAATAAATAATAGCTCTGATGGTCGAAGCTTAAAAGAATACAGTGGTTAAGACTTTTGGCTCACAGATATTTGATGTCAGCGCTGACTTTTCTTTTCTCTTCTGCCACAAAGCAATTTCCTAAACACTGTACAACCTTGCCCTTGTACCCTGAATGGCAAAGAAAATGTCAAGATGAAGTCAAAGAAGCTTATGGTGACAAAAACAAACTTGAATGGTGAGATGCTCAATAGCAAATCATTCTCGCTTTCGATATGACTGTCTGATGTATACTTAACTTTACTTGACGAGCCCCTTGCTCTGTTTGGTTGCTCAAACGGGAAATATTAACCCATCGTGCTTTCATGAGACTGGCTTAGAGATGCTTTAGTGAAAGTGTTTGGCCATTAGAAAATATCTGTCAACTCTGTATGTGTCAACTTGCTTCATCAGGGATGACCTGTCTCAGCTCAAATACGTAACCCTTGTTATCAAGGAGAGCATGAGGCTGTATCCACCCTTCCCAATGTTCAGTCGCACCTTGGACAAGTCATATGAGATCGCTGGAAAATTAGCTCTACCAGGTAGGAGTCTAGCTTCACCTCCCCTTGTTTTGTTGTGGCTTAGTAGGATGGTTTGAAGTAATATATTAAGTCTAACGCGGTAATTTGATTTTGACGATATTGTCATGTGAGAACTCGTCAAACATCTGAGAATCAAATTACGGACCGCAAATGTGTGGTGCAAACAAACTCACGGGTAAAATGGAGATGGTTCTACAGCGGGATGAGTGAATTTAATTGTTTGGTTGTCGTACTTTTCAGCGCTATGTTTTCATGCTTTCTACTCGATTCGTTCGAACTTCAGGAAATGGTTTGTGTCACAAAACATGGAGCCACTTTCTCTTCGCTCAACATCTCGAGGCGTTATAATGAACATGCTTGCGATACGATATTTTTTTCCTGATGCTGGGAACTGAAGAATTAATCTCTAAAATTGGTAGTCTTCACATTTTGCAAGAAGCGTCCGAGCTGTGATCGTGCAATTAAACGGGGTTCTGGCAATTTGACTTCACAAGCGCGCTGGTAAGCACATGGTTCGCGTAAATAATTGTTGTTTACAGTTATCGAATTCAAGAGCAGTTTTTGAGAGTCTGTTTCTGTAACCTTCCTGGATGTTTTCTGTTAAATTCATTTAGATTTAGTCTCGGAATTTCATAAGCGATTATGAATGATAGATTCGTACCGGCACCATAATTTAGGGACATTTTGTCAACATGTTAACAGTTTACAATTCGCGAACCATTTCTGTAACCTACTTGGATATTCTCTCTTGGAGTAATTGAGTCACACCCTCGGAATTTCATTAGTAATTAAGAACGACAAATCCGTATATATAGCACAAGTGAAGCACATTTTAAACTTTTATACGATTGTAGGAAACTATACTTAATTAACTCTCGATAAATTGGCCTGACATAACTCGATGATTATTTTTTTATTTTGTAGCCCCAAAAGCCCGGCTTGTGACTCTGGAGGTACTGAACGTGATATATTTGATACACAAGGCACCCTTCAAGTAGGAAAGTTAAAATAAAATTGCTTTCATGACCATATATTGCACTCGGTTAACATATGTAGATAATTACTTAAAAAATACTTATTATAGCTGTATTCAGAAGCATAGACATGTATACAATATGTGTTAGATTTTTCCTAATTTTGGTTTCCCTGTTCTACGTAGAAGTTAGTGTCACGAGACCTGTTTTCCATATTTGGTATTGTACACGAGGTTTTCTGTTCAGATTAAAAATAGTTCTTCCGCCATCTTGATCTAGTTACTGTGTTCCTGGCCTTTTATTCGGAATACACAACAACTGGCGACGAGGATGGGATCCCTTTGATCAAGCACAAGCGGTTAACAGGAGTGGGTCGTACAAATCACGTTCAAAAAGGGACAGAGACGACGAAAATAAAATTATGCCGGACGAAGCACCGAGCGCTAACACGAGTCAAGCCATCGGCAAAGTGACAAAGTTTGTGGTGGGAGCGGATTGGGAGTCCTAAACCGAACAACTGGATTTTTTCTTTCTTGCAAATGGGATCAAGGAACCTAAAACAATGAAGGCCGTACTTTTGACGAACCTTCCGGTGGAGACTTACCAATTGGCGAAGGATTTAGTGGCCCCCACGCAACTGAAAGATGACGCCATTACCTATGAGATCATCGTGGAGCGAATGCGGGAACAACTGAAACCTGAAAGATCAGCGCTGGTTGCGAGGTATGAGTTCGACAACCGAGCCAGGAATTCCGGTGAGTCAGTTAGTCATTATGTAGCCACGCTGAAGCACTTGGCCACAGAATGTAAGTTTGGAGAGGCCATGCGAACCGAGCGCCTTCGTGACCGATTAGTTTCAGGTATCCGCGACTCGAAGATGATTACGGAATTGTTGAAAGTAAAACTCGCCGACCTTTCATTTGACCTCGCGGTTCAAAAGTGTTTGGCCATTGAGCAGGCTAATAAAGATGTTCAGGTGCTTCAGGGAGAACAAGGGCCAGGCACCCCAATCAATAAACTTGACACTGTCAAAACTGGGGAAGAACAAGCCATATCCAAGCCACCACCTAGGGCCGAGGGTCCCCGAGGTAAGGACAGTAAGAAGTCTAAACCTTGTTACCGCTGTTCAGGGTCACATAACTCACAAAAGTGTCCCTTCATGAAAGAACGCTGTTTTCATTGTGGCATCATTGGACATACACAGAGAGCATGTAGGAAGAGACAGGCCACCTCACAGATGACTGAGGCTGGAATCAATGTCATGGAGGGTGATGATTCCGAAGAAAGTGATGGAGAATTTGGGAACCTGTACCATGTCTCAGACATTAAAAACACAAAGCCCATTTCACTCAAGATCTACCTTGAAGGCCGCCCAGTGACTATGGAGCTGGATACAGGTTCAGTGGTGTCAGTCATGAGTGAGAGGGTGTATTTGGATTACCTCCGCCACATTCCTTTAAAGGACACCTCCTTGAAGTTGCGCACATACACCGGAGAGTCAGTGAAGCCTATGGGGTTTTGCCATGTGACTGTGCAGTATCAGGGACAGTCAAAGAAACTTCCCATATATGTAGTGAAGAATGAGGGACCCACCCTTTTTGGCAGAGAATGGCTGGAATCTATCCATCTGGACTGGCCCTTACTTCGTCTGGAAACATCCGACACCATTCCAGCCCTGGAAGATGTCCTGAGTAAGCATGGAGATGTTTTCTCTGAAGGTTTGGGCAAAATGAAGAATATCCAAGCACGGATCCAAGTTAAAGAGGATGCCCGGCCTCGATTCTGGAAAGCCCGCCCAGTAGCGCTGGCTCGTAAACCAGCAGTGGACGAAGCATTGAGAGAGCTGGAAGCTGAAGGAGTTATAAAGAAGGTAGCTACTAGTGAGTGGGCTGCTCCAATTGTGACACCTGTGAAGAAGGATGGCAGTGTAAGAGTGTGTGGTGACTTCAAAGAGACCATCAATTCACAGCTGGAGGTAGACGAGTACCCACTTCCCCGCATTGATGATATTTACGCCAGCCTAGGTGGGGGAACGTTGTTCAGCGTCATTGACCTTCGTCAAGCTTACTTACAAATGGAGGTTGAGGAGCACTCCAGGCCTTTCCTCACCATTAACACAACCCGTGGTTTGTTCCAGTACCAGCGCCTTCCTTATGGTGTAGCTTCGGCGCCAGCCATCTGGCAGCGAGCTATGGATCAGATCCTGCAAGGACTACCAGGGGTCTTCTGTTACCTGGATGATATCATTATAACCGGCCATACCATAGAGGAACACCTGGAGCGGTTAGTCGCAGTATTGAAGAGGTTGGAAGAGTATGGTTTGAAAGCCAACCGAGAAAAGTGTAAATTCCTTAGAAGTTTTGTGGAGTACCTAGGACACGTCATCTCTGCAGAAGGACTGCACCAATCCCCAAAGAAAGTAAAGGCTATCACTGAGATGCCGAAACCTCAGGATGTTACTCAACTGCGTGCTTTTCTTGGCATGGTCCAGTATTACGCCAAATTCTTGCCCGATCTGGCCACTCATCTTGCTCCACTTCATCGGCTGTTACAGAAAGATGTGACGTGGTTGTGGGGAGCTGCGGAACAAACTAGTTTTCTTGTGGTGAAAGAAATGTTGCTACAGGATAGGGTTCTGATGCGCTATGACCCTGACTCACCACTAGTTCTTGCCACAGACAGCTCCTCGTATGGTCTCGGAGCGGTCTTGTCACACCGTACTTCTGAGGGAGTAGAGCGTCCTATCGCTTATGCGTCCCGGTCCCTGTCCGAAACAGAGAAGAAGTTCTCACAAATTGAGAAAGAAGCATTATCTTTGGTCTGGGGTGTGAAGAAGTTCCAAATGTACCTGGAGGGTCGCCACTTCACCTTGGTCACCGACCATCAGCCTTTGAAGCACATAATGGACCCCGGGAAGGCTGTGCCAGTCACAGCAGCAGCGAGGATTCAACGTTGGTGTCTCTTCCTAGGAGCTTTTTCATACAATGTCGAGTTCCGAGGTACCAAGCAACATGCCAATTGTGATGGTTTATCTCGCCTACCTCAACCATCAGCGCCCGCTGACAAGCCCGATGAAGTTGAAATATTCCATACCACCGTTGTCGAGGCCCTCCCCGTTACAGAGCACGACTTGAGAATGCAGACCCGTAGGGATCCAGTACTTTCCCGTGTTCTGGAGCTTGTGCAGTCAGGATGGCAAGGGACCGAACTTCACCCAGAGCTCATCCACTATGCCCATCGCGGTAACGAAATCACGATTCATCATGGAGTTCTAATGTGGGGTAGTAGAGTAGTCGTCCCAGCCAAACTGAGAGAGAGAGTTTTAGAAACGCTTCACGAGGGTCACATTGGTATGGTCAAGATGAAGGGTTTGTCCCGGGGTTTTGTTTGGTGGCCAAACATTGACAAGGACATAGAAGGGGCCGTCCGAAACTGTGAGGGATGTCAAGAGTTGGCAAATAATCCAGCCCGTGCACCCCTGCATCGATGGGAGTACCCTTCCCTTCCCTGGCAAAGACTGCATATTGACTTTGCCGGACCAGTCGAGGGAAAGATGCTCATGGTAGTGATCGATGCCCACAGCAAGTGGCCGGAGATTTTCGTGATGGAGATCACCACTGCTGAAGAAACCGTTAGCACGCTGCGCTCTCTGTTTGCCCACATGGGACTCCCTGACCAGATGGTGTCAGATAATGGTCCACAGTTCACGTCCGAAACCTTTAGGAAACTACAACTGCGAACGGTATAAAGCATGTCACTGGTGCACCTTACCATCCATCAACCAATGGTCAGGCGGAAAGATTAGTACAGAGTTTCAAGAAAGGAGTTAAGGCTGACAAGTCCAGTAGAACCCTGCAACACAAGCTTGATAGGTTCCTGTTAGCTTATCGATCAGCGCCACACGCCACTACTGAGCTTAGCCCTGCACAGCTTCTCCTGGGTCGGAATGTTAAGACAAGGTTGGATCTGATTAAGCCGGATGTTTCAAGAAAAGTTAACAAGAAGTTGCTCCAGCCCAATGACCGCACTTTAAAGTCTTTTGACCAAAACCAGAACGTATGGGTCCGCAACTACCGCAGAGGTCCAAAATGGGTGCGTGGCACCGTCATTGAACAAACGGGTCCAGTCCTGTACAAAGTCAAGGTAAACGACCAAACCTGGAAACGTCATGTCGAGCAGCTACGGGATAGCAACCTTTGCCCACCTGACGCGGAAACGATGGATGATTGTGCTGTTCCGGAGGAGGTCGAACATGACACACCGCCTGTAGCTACGGAGACTGAGTGGAAGGATGCACCACCTTTGGCTGTGACGCCTATTGGGGAGTTTTCCCCTCCAGAACCACAAGGTCATCAACTAGATCCGAAACCTGAATCGATTACCACCCGTGCCGGTCGTTTGGTTAAACCACCTCCTAAGTTGAAGGACTATGTTTGCGGCTAGAGGGAACTGTGGTGTTTCTTTCTGTGGTCACAGTACCAACATGTTATCTAAGATACTTTGAAATTTGTTTCTTGGATTTTGTTTTATTCTTTCTTTTCATTAGTGTACTATTGAGTCTTAAAAGGGAGGAAATTGTTAGATTTTTCCTAATTTTGGTTTCCCTGTTCTACGTAGAAGTTAGTGTCACGAGACCTGTTTTCCATATTTGGTATTGTACACGAGGTTTTCTGTTCAGATTAAAAATAGTTCTTCCGCCATCTTGATCTAGTTACTGTGTTCCTGGCCTTTTATTCGGAATACACAACAATATGCTTCTGCTTTATTTTATTGCAAGGGGTTTCTTTTCATGTAACATGTATTCATCCTTTAATTTCCTCCTTAACCTGCCTGCAAATAATTGAATTTTATGTTTGAATTCAAGATAAAACAGAAGTCTTGCAGAGTTCTCATTCCAGATGGAATTCAGGTGAGAACATCAGTAAATAAGTTAAAATCATATACTTCTCCTGAATCTTTAATTTTATTGCCCTGGTTTTTTTCAGAAACCCTATTTTATATCTCTGTGTGACAGCTAATGATTAAAACCTCAGGGAATAGATATGCTCTATTTTAGTAGTTTTTTAACTTCCATCTTTTTGTTTTTGGCATTTACTATTTTAAAATTCATAAATGGCATTCCCTTTTCATCCTTGTAAAGAGATATTGCACATTTCTTTGACTAAAATATGAATTATGAAGTCAACTTAATTTCAATGAGTTTGAAACTTCATTCTACATGAGAACACTTTACTGGCATATACTGTTATAATTATTTGCTGTCTTTTTGTAATACATAATTACCATATGTGTCTCAACCCTTTAACTCCCACAGTTTCATGAGTAATCCTCCTTATACTGTCTGCCATACAATTTATGTGATGTTAAATTTGAGAATTTGGAATTGGATCAACCAATAATTCTCAAATTGATATTTGTCTTAATTCTCGTTACTTGTCAGCTTTATGTCATACTAATAGTGTAAGGAGAAATTCTGTCATGGTTAACAGTGGGACTTAACCCTTTAACTCCCAAGATCTCATTAGTAATTCTCCTTACTATCTCCTATACAGTTCTTGTGATGTTAGTTTGGAGGATTTAGTATTGGATCATCTTATAATCCCCTAACTGATATTTTTCTTATTCTCATCACTTGTCTGCTAGATATTGTAAGGAGAAATTCTGTCTTGGTCCCTTATGGGAGTTAAAGGGTTAAAATGGGGGATTTCAACATATTGTAATGATTGAAATATTCTTATGCTTTCAAATGTACCAGTAACAAAAAAATGTGATGAGAATCACTTGCAATGGAAAAACCTGTTGCTGGTAGCTTATGTCTTTAATGCTTAAATTTTCATGGGAAATGCTTTTATTTGAAAGTGGGGATACTGAAGTTTTTAAGGCTGATAGAAGTAAGCTGTTTGCAAGTAATAATAGGCAAATTGACAATCATACCTTAATGCCTGACATGCTTCACTCATACATGTTAGTTGTGTGTATCTACCATTGTAGAGGTGTCTTTAAAAAGGGTTTTTTTTGTTACACAAGGCAACCTACAGGGTGGAAGAGTAGAAGACCACAGAATGATGTTTACTTGGCATTTGTACTAAATGCAATCATATATTCAAGCAGTTCTCTACATATATATAACTGATTACATGATGTCTTTAACCTTTTACACTCCAATATCAGAATGTGTATTCTCCAAACTGTTCTCTATATATTTCCTTATGTGCTGGTGAGGAGAATTTGTTTAACAGTCAAGAGGTTCTTCAGTTGATTATCATTTCCTTTATTCTCATGACCTTAATGTGTGATTCAGAGGTGATATTGGATGGAGAAATTAGATGCTAGTCACTCTCAGGGATTAAAGTGTTATTAGCTGTACACATTTTCATGTATATGCTCCTCGCATTTGTTGGCAACAATAGTTAAGATTGTTAAGAAAGCAAACAAAAAAGTGAACAGAAGACAGTGAAATGAGGGAAACTGTAAACTTTATCATGTGATAGAAAACTATCACAGAATACTTAAAGAGGGGAAACTTGAATTGTGTTAGCTAATTTCCTCTATTGCCATTCATGCTTTTGATCAAATAAAATTTAACCTTTTAACTCCCAGTTCAAATTTGTAATTCTCCTTAATGTCAACTATACAATTTTTATAATGTTAGTTCTAAGAATTTAGTTTTGGATCAACTAATTATTCTCAAGTTATATTTTTCTTTATTCTCATCACTTATCTTCAAATTTTCAACTTTGTATTAATTGTAGCTGTTTACTATGTCTTAATTCTCTGTACCATAAGCCCTCAAAAGTTAAAGCAGGCAAGTCAATAACCTGACTTCCTTTGTTTGGAATTGTATGATTATATAATTTTGCTGTGTTGGTTACCATACTGTAACATGTAATGTTATTATTTATATTGCATTAAATACGTTAGCTCAAGCTTTCATTAATGCATGGTGTTTCTTACCAATGGTCCTACCCAAACTGAACATTGAAATAAGGAATTGGTCACAAGATATGTGAGTTTAAAAGGGTGGGAATCTGGAAAAACAAGGATCCTCCTTTAGTTAGGACTGAAATTAATGGGGGCCCTCTTATTTTAATTCATGTTTTTAATTTAACCTGCCTCCTCCCCTGTAATGTTCAGGGCACATAGATGAAGAGAACATTTTTTTTTTATTTTGATGCATAAAAGTTAAATTACCAGTAATTGGCATCCACATAATCACAAAGCAAGAATGTAAAGCTTTAGCTTAATTGGCTAAAAAATTAAAGTAAGATAGTTTTGCAGACCATGTCTGACTTTTTATCCTGGCTCTGGATATTTATATAAGTAACAAAGACACTATCAGTCTCATTCACTCTCACGTTCCACTGAGCTTGTGGAAAGATGATAACATCATTATTTCTTTAAATGAAGAAAGGAAAGCCTGCCCTCTTACCACGGATAGTTTTGTTGGGCATCATTAGTTCAAGATGATTATTCCAGGTTGTCTAATCTAAAATATTAGTTGTGAAAATTTCTTGAACCTGTCATTGTACATATTGAATGTTTGGCTCAATTTTACCTCACCAACCTAAACTGAATAAATAGAAAAAATAAAAAATAAGAAAATAAAGAACTTTTCAACTATTTATATTTCAGATTATTTCCTTTATTTGTTCTCCTTTTGAGGTTTGCATCAAAATTTCGAAGTCATCACAGGCTTAAACTATAGGTTTACAGGAAATCTGCATGTGCATGTGTTCTCAACATATGAAACTGAGATTATGACTACTTCAAAAGACTTTACTACATGCCATATAGGTACAGACAGGTGTTGTAAAAAAGTTTGCTTAGCTTTTTCATTAGTACACATTTCTTTTTCAAAGAACCTTGTTTATCCAGCCTGTGCTAAATTCTAATTTTTCAACCAAATTTTTTTTTTTTTTAATATTATTAGATCTCATAGTATCAGTTAATATTCTTGTATTTAAAATAATTACATCAAATCTTGCAGATGTGTGGCAGATTATTTTTGCTCTGAACCTCCTAACATTTTACCATTTGAAGGGACTGGTATTGGTACTGGTATAGTCAAATTAAAGGTTTTTGCACAACCTATGCATCGAGTTTTTGTTATAAAATATTGTATCTTTCTCAAAACTAGTTTATCAGAATAAGAATGAGTTACCGGGAACAAGTATGGCTTTCATGATAATAGTTTCCAGATTTGAAAAAAGTCACTGCCTACTAAAATCCTCAGGATCCCAACAGGAGTGATTACCAAATTATTGATACAGACAAGAGGGCCTATTCCCACATACATCGTCCTCAATCCTGTTAGCTTACTATGGTCATGGCATTTCAAACATGGTGTACATGCCACACGTTTTCCATTTCCCTGACTAATTACTTCGTAATAGTGTTTATATGTTGAGGAAATGATCGGGTTGAAATATCATACAAAGACTTGCCAGTAGGTAGTTTTATTACAGTTTTTATTCAGTGTAACGTAGGGCTGGAAAATAAACTAAAAAGAGCTCTAAATATTAGATGTATAAACTAATAAGAGCTCTATATATTAGATGTACAAAAGTAAGTAAAGCCTTTATACAGGCCCAAAGTGGCTATGGGGCCGGTGGTTAACTTCGGTTTTCTTAGCACGAAGCAGCTAGGAGTATTGCTACCCCCCCCCCCCCCCCGGATGGGATGCTAGTCCATCGCAGGGTTACCCCCAGCACATTTGCTGGTACCCATTTGTACACCTGGGTGAAGAGAAGCACTGTAAAAGTAAATTGTCTTGCCTAAGAACATAACACAATGACCCCACCCAAGTTTCGAACCCTGAATTCCTGACATTACTTAGTTACTTTTGTAGTGTATTAATTGTGCTGTAAATAGTTTTACTAGAGTAAGTGGTAACTACTACTAGAGTAGTACTAGAGATTACTAGAGTAATTTCATGAAGATTGTTGTTGTTTTTGTCTCTTTCATCTTTACTTGAATTTTACCTGTAAGTTAGATGTCCTTACCAGTGAATGGTACAACTAGACTGTACACAATTCCTCCTTTGGGTTATGATTGGATAGGACATGCAGTCTTGATAGAGTTTGGGTGACAAAGGACAAGTGCTCATCGCAAGTGGCCGAACCACAGTGGATATATAGGCTGTCCTATATTTTGTAGCAAATTCTACATGGAATTTTAAACCATTACCATCAAAGGTTGTCTGAAATATAAATAGTTGAAAAGTTCTTTATTTTCTTATCTCAATATTTAGTATGTTGTTTACTAGCCAATTTGATGGTATCATGCAGGCCCAGAAGAAGAGGGTTTTCTTGGAACAATTGTCAAATTGTTGAAATGGGAAAGTCAATTATTAGAAGTGAATTCTTTCTGGAATTTCCCTAAGAAATAATATCTTTTATAATGTCCTCATTTCTCTAATACTATTGTTTTCAGCTGCTTGTGTT